GAATTTAACCAAGAGTTCCTGGGTTGGGATAAGACGGGGAGAGATCCCTCATCAAACACAAAAATGAGCATCACAGACCCAGCCTGGGCACACGGAGGGAATTTATTACCAACCAAATCACAACAGTACAAGGAGAAGGGAAAGAAATTTCTCCAACACCTTCCCTCCACGCAACGGGGATCACCCGGAACAGGGGTCACTGGGGATCATCCAGTGTGGATCCTCCCAGGGGGATGGAGCTGGAGCAGTGCACAAAGCTCTTCCCACACTCAGGGCCTCTCCCTGGTGTGCATGTGCTGGTGCCTCATGAGGTGGAAGTTGCGGTTAAAGCCCTTCCCACATTCCAAGCACCTGTAGGGCTGTTCCTCGGTGTGGGTTGTTTGGTGGTGGATGAGGTTGGATCTGTGCCTGAAGCTGTTCCCACATTCCCCACATTCATAGGGTCGCTCCCCAGTGTGGATCCTCTGGTGCTTAATGAGGTTGGAGCTCCGGCTCAAGCCCTTTCCACATTTCAAGCACTCATATGGCCATTCACGTTTGCCGGTGTGGATCTTTTGGTGGCTGATAAGGTGGGAGCTCTGCATGAAGCTCTTCCCACATTCCTCACATTTACTGGGCCGTTTCTCAGTGTGGATGTTCTGGTGCTGGATCAGGTCGGAGCTCGTGCTGAAGCTCTTCCCACACTCCCCACACTTGTAGGGCTTCTCCCCGGTGTGGATGCACCGATGGCTGACCAGGTGGGAGTTGCGGCTGAAGCGCTTCTCGCAGTCGGGGCAGTGGAATGGCCTCTTCCCTGTGTGTGTTGGCTGATGTTGGAGGAGTTTCTTGGTGTTCCAAAACCTCTTCCCACACTCAGGACACTCACAGGGCTTCTGTCCGGTGTGGATGCGCCAGTGGATGTTTGGGCTGGAGCTCCGTCTAAAGCTCTTCCCATACTCCAAGCACTTGTAGGGCCGTTCCCTGGTGTGGCAGCGCAGGTGCCTGATGAGGTGGAAGTTGCAATTAAAACGCTTCCCACATTCTGAGAACTCATAGGGCTTTTCCCCAGTGTGAGTTGTTTGGTGCCGGATGAGTCTGGAGCTCAGGCTGAAGCTTTTCCCACATTCCCTACACTCATAGGGCCTTTCCCCAGTGTGGACCTTGTGGTGCTTGTTGAGGTCAGAGCTCCACCTGAAGCTCTTCCCACATTCCATGCACTCATAGGGCTTTTCCCCAGTGTGGATCACCTGGTGCCAAGTCAGATGGGAGCTCTGTTTGAAGCTCTTCCCACAATCCAAGCAGGTGTAGGGCCGTTCCTCAGTGTGGATCACCTGGTGCCCCGATCAGGTTGGAGCTCTGGCTGAAACCCTTCCCACATTCCCAGCACTTGTGTGGCTTCTCCCCATCATGAGGCTTCTCCACCAGCTCTGAGCTCTGGCTGGATCTCCGGCCGCCTTCCTGGCCCAGGGGGGCTCTTTCCTCCTCACAGCACCCAGGGCTGGGTTTGCAGCCCCTCCTCGTGCGGGATCTCCAGAGCTTTTTCTCCTCCTCCATCCAGCCACAGCTTGGGAATGAAAAATCCTGGTTTGAGAGGAAAAACAAAGGGTGAGTGCCTTGGGATGGGGGTTTCTACTGCCCAAGAACATCTCAGGAAGTCACTGGGTGTTTTGTGTTCATACAAGTCTTCAAACTACCAAGATTCAGCCCAAAACCCCTCCCAGGAGTTCCCCCTCTGTGATCTTAACGCTTTGATGTTTCGTGGGTGCCCTTTCCTGGGCTGATGGGGGTCCCGTGGCTCCTGCTGTCCCCCCTCTCCAGGATCTCGTTTAGGGATGATCCGGCGATCCCACAGCCCCCCGCCCATGCTCTGCCGGCAGCGACCACCCGCACCCCTTCCTCCCAAAAATCCCCAGCCGGTCGTGGACCCTCATTATCCACCACGGGGCATTTGCGGTTTAGCCTGGGGCTCCTCCAAGGTCCAAATAGCCGTGACCCCCAGAACACCCGCCAGGAACCCCCGATATATCTGGGGCGAACTTCCCCTCCCAGCTCACCTGCAGCATACGGGGGGGAGATGCTCCAGGGGCCGAGGCTGCTGTGGACGTAGCGGGCGCTGAGACCGAGAATCCTTCCTCTTCCTCTTCCTCTTCCTCTTCCTCTTCCTCTTCCTCTTCCTCTTCCTCTTCCTCTTCCTCTTCCTCTTCCTCTTCCTCTTCCGTTTTCTGCTCCTCCTCTTCCTCTCTCTCTCTTCTTCCTTCCTCTGCTCCCCCGTCTCTTTCTCCACTGCTCGTCCCGCTGCTCCTCATTCTTAGTGCCGCCTCAGCAGGGCTGGGGGCACACGGGACCCCCCCAAAATCCGTGTGGGGACGGAGTGGGGGGCCCCGGCC